TTCCCCCCAGCGAAGGCCCCGCTTTTTAATAGTGACCAGCTCCGATAATAACTTGGAAATACGACGCCAACCCCTGCTTTCAGGACTCCCGACGGGATGCCCGCCACCCGAAGTTCTGACAGCTGAGACCTTGATCGTGGCAGGCCCCTCAGCTCTGCCGAAGTACTTGGCTTGATCTAGCACGCCGTGATAGGCCCCAAGCCCTCTCCAATCCTTCAACAAAGGCCCTGTAGCACACATCTAGCGAATCCCGATCCCCAACCGATCTAGCCGATTCAAGAAGCGCCTTGTACTCGGGCGGCTCCGGCATGGGTCCCATCGCAACTTCCTGCGGGGACATCCTCGGCAGGCGCGGCGTCTGGACCCAGACGCTGAGCGGCTCGCCGCGGAACTTGACCACCACGGGCCAAGTGCGGCGTGACTGATGCCTTCCTACTGATGGCGCAAGAATGGGCACTGCCTGCAAGACCTGCAGACATCACAAAATCATCGATCGTTCTCCAGGCCTTAGCATTGGACCTGCACGTGTAGGTCGATGGCTTGACAATCTGTCCCCAAAGACGCCCTGCCCAGCCCGTGCTCTGGAGTGCCTCTGGCGAAACGTTCCAATCTCCCCCCAAGACAAACGGCAAACCCCAAGAGTGAATCTGCTCGCCTATCCTGCTGAGTATTTGGCATCCGATTGGACCCAGCGGGTCCTGGTCGGGGAGGTAGATGGATCCGAGGATGAACCCTCCTGGTACATACGCGTTAACCCACATCAACTGCTGGCGGCGCGGGCACGGCAGGCGCTTCGCGTCTGTCGGCGGCAAGCCAAGGCCAACGAACTCTCTGCACGCAACTGCTACCCCTCCTGACAGGCCTCCTGCACTGGTGACCTCGGACGGGTGAATCTGCGCCTGCCAGCCCAGCTTCATAAGCTGGGATTCACATCCGGCACGATCTTGAAGGTCAACAGTTAGTTCCTGAAGCACGACGATGCGACTCGACGCTTCCCCCTGGAGAAACTGCTTAGCTGACGACCATGCCGTGGTATTACAGGTTTCGAGACAGAAAAACTCTCCCTGACGCGACCCTGAAGATTTGTGCTTGAGCTTTTGCCCTGGCTGGGCGGCTCGCTCTTTCCGAATTCGCTGCGGCCCTGTAAGAGGCCAGGCACTAGGGGGGGGGGGGGGAAGAGCAGAGGAGGGCCGGTCGGGGGGATTCGAGCACGGCGGGGGCGGGGGCCAAACGGGCGACCGAAAGAACACCCCAGGAGGCCGCGAGGGCCCCACCGCCGCTTCACCCCACCAGCTGGCGGGGCAAGGCAGGCTGCTACCCGCCAGACTTTTTGTCCTGCCCCCTGCCTGCCTCTCCTGCCGCGCCTGGGGTGCCTCCAGCACCCCCTCCAGCGCCTCTTCCTCCCCCCTTGCTGCCCGGAGCCTCAGCGGCCTTGGTGCGAACGTCAACCTTGGGCGAATCGGCGGTGGCTCCACCGCCGCCACTGGTTGCACTGGCTGCGCTTGGGCGGGCATCAGGGCTACCTGCAGCAGCAGCACCTGGATGAACACCTGCAGGAGGCTCCGCCGCCATGGTACGCGCGGCGTTGCCCTCGCCCTCGCCCTTGCGCTTCTTGTGCAGCCTGTTGACGTGCTCGGAATGTTCCTTGCGCAGCCTCTCCGCAGTCTCCTTGGCGCTTCCAAAGAGCTGCTTCGCCATGTCCTGCACGCCTTTGCGCAGCTTGTCCTTACTGGCAGCTGCCTCATTCCTGTCGGTGTCCGTGAACTCGTAGATATCGGCCAGCCCGAAGAAGTCGTCACAACCCTCGAGGTCGATGCACGACCCGTCCCCTGCGAGCAGCTGCTCCAGGGATATCTTCGGCTTCCCCGTGGGCTGGCTGTTGCGCGCTTGGCTGCACATGGCGCTGAGCAGGCCTTCGTACTCTTCATCAGCGTCCGCGAGCTTGGTCTGCAACAGCTGGACTTCCGCCTCCTGGTCCAGAACAGCTTGGCGGAGGCGACCCAACTTGTCGATCGCCCCGTCCAGCTTCCTCTCCAGGCCCTGGACCTGCTCATGCGCTCGATGGGCCCGCACCTGGAGCGGCGGCTCCTTGGGCTGGACCGCCTCCTTCTTCTTAAACCCTAACCACTTTTCATACTTCGTGACCAGCACCATGTCGCCAGTCTTCTTGCCCAGGGCGATGAGCTGCTCAATCTCGGCGATTGTGAGCTGCTTGTCTCCATTCCCCAGGCCAGGCGGCGGCTGCAATCCGACCGAGCGGGGCTCGCCGTCCCCCGCGTCCTCCACCGCGAGCCCATTCGCCTCCGCCTCCGCGGGGGTGTTCCAGGCCACCTGGCAGTGTAGGCAGTACCACGTACTCCAGCCGTTTTTCTTGCAGCCGCAGTGCTCGCATTTCCACTTGCGATTGCGCCCTTTGGAGCCGCTGCGTTTGCTACTGCTACGCTGGTCGGCCCACGAGACACTCTTCTGGTGTCCGCTCGAACTGCCATCTCTCCACGCCATACTTGCGCCCGAGACTCTGAGCGAACAAAACGTGGAGTGCCAAAAAGGCGGACCCTCACCCTGAGCAGGGCCACTGATCGAGGGTCGTGCGGGTCTCTGACCAGCTCGAGCCCCAACCCCAGGGAAGGCGAAGGCCCCAGGCAACGGCTTGAGCCAAATGGCTACGGATCTCCTCCTCCTCCTCCTCCACCACCTCCACCTCCTCCCCCACCTCCACCTCCACATCCTCCTCCTCCTCCTCCTCCTCCTCCTCCTCCTCCTCCTCCTCCTCCTCCTCCTCCTCCTCCTCCTGACTTCCCTTCTACCCCAGCGTGTTCCGGACGGGCCCTGCCGGAACGCGCTGTGCACAATTGTTGGCTCATCTTTCATGGCTCGTAATTGTTGGCGTACACCGATACCGGGACCCACGTTCCCAAGAGAACGCACCCGCCGTACCTCAGTTCCAGTCCGTTCCACCGACAGCGAAGCTCGGCCACTTGGGAGTCCTTTTGAGACCTTCTGGGGCTCTTCTTGGGCTATTGAGAGCGTCTCGGGGGCGTCTTATCAGCGAGAGTCGGCCTCTTGGGAACCATGATGAAGCCGTCCAGGTCCATTCTGGGGTTCTTGGGGGCGTTTCGGGTGCGTCTCGGGGCTTTCTTGGGGCCCGCTGGCGGCCTGGAGAGCTGTCTCGGGACTTTCTGTCTGGGGGACTCTTGAGCCTTCATGGGGGCCTCTTGAGTGCGTCTTGGGGGTCTCTTGGGCGGTCTCGGGGCGGTCTTGTGTGCTTCGGGGGCCGCCGTGGAGCGTTGGGAAGCGAAAGCGTCGTACATGTCAAAAATGTACGTTTTCCTATCGGAAATTGAACCATTGAAGCCTCTCGGGGCTCTCTTGGGAAGACTCTTGGGGCTGCCTTGGGCGGTCTTGGGGGCCTCTGGGGCAATATTGGGGCCATCTTGGGCGTACGGGTGCCCTCTGGGCCTGTCTTGGAGCGCTCTTGGGGCACTCTGGAGCCGTCTGGGCTGCTCCAGGGAGGCTCCGGGCCCCCGTCCCCCCATGGGTGGTCCGGGCAGCTGTGTTTGGGGCCGCGACCCAGCCCCCCAGGGATATATATACACATATATATATATACACACATACTTATACATATACACATATATATATATATATGTACATATATATACATATGTATAAATATGTGTATATAGACATTTACACAAACATATATACACATATATATATATATATATATATATGTATATATATATATATATATATATGTATCTCACCGTGCTCCGAGGCACGAGTTGGAGTGTCATCAGGTCCATTGGAATTGTCTGTCCTCAGCCTTGCGCGAATGAATTAACAGGCCTAGGCGCTAAATTCTCACATCTCTTGGGGCGCGTGGCGTGCCTCCTGGGGCTTGGCGCATGTTCCCGCGTGACTTTCTCAGAGGCCAGAGGAGCCCAAGAGGGCCAGGAGGGCCCCGAGAGGCATCCAAAACTGCCCAAGAGGCCTCCTCGACGGCAACAGGTCGCTCCACGACCCCAGAATGGCCTCCAGACGGCCCGAGACGCCCACGAGTCGCTCCTAAAGGGCTTCAATAGCACTTCCAAAAGGGCCCCAGCAGGCCATAATCATTGACGTTCCTTTGGTGTTTGAAAGGCTTTAGCACTCGTTCGAAGCTTCAAGACAAGCCCAAGAGGCCCTCAAAACACCCCAATACGGTCCAAAGGCCTCCAAGGTCCCCAGACGGCCCAGTGAGGGCCCACGACTGCCCAAGAGGCCCCCAAGACGGCCCAAGAGGGCTCCAAGAGGGCCCCAAGAGAGGCCCCAGAGGGGAGGGACAGAAGTCTTATAAGCTTTTCCATGCTATGTTCGCCCTCTCGCCCATTCGACCGAAGATGGCCCAGGAGGCCCAGCCCAAGACGGCCCCAAAAAACAGCCCCAGTACTACCCTAAACAGCCCCAAAGAGAGCTCCAAGACGGGCCAGGGAGGCCCTTAGGACGCCCTCCGAAGGCGCCAAACGGCCCAAGAGCGCCCCAAGGCGGCCCAGGAGAGCCGCAGGACGGCCTAACAGAACCCCAGAAGGAGACTCCCGACAAGGACCCCAAAGCAAGAAACGAGGCCCACGAGAGCCCTGAGACGGCCCACGCCCTGTGCTCCCCCAGTGCATTCCCCAACGGCTGGGGGCACACGCAGTCCACAAACGCGGCCATTCTTTCGCCCAATTTTTCACGACGCAGGCATTTCCAAAAGGCACGCACGGGGCGGCGGTGTCGCGCTGGAGAATAAAAACAAGATGATGGGCCATCTGACCCGTCATGACGCAATGCTGAACGGACGTGCCGAATCGTGTGACTCTGATGGCGCTTATCACAAAGGAAGAACAATCGTTTCTCAGACAAACGAACACTCCAGCTAGTTCACACACCGAAGCCAAAGCGAAAGACAGAGAGTAGGGCAAGGACAGGGGACCAGTGGAAGCTAGGCGTGCAATGCGCGCGAAGGAAGGCCTTGCCTTTTTGGAGTTCTTGGGCGCATGACTGGTGGTGAAAGTCTCGGCCTTTGAGTCGTCAGTCTCACACCACTTGGATAGGCCTCGCAAGCACAGCGACAAACCAGCGATATGAAGCAAACGTAGCAGAGCTCTGAAGACGAGGTCGACATGCTGGGCGAGCCAGAGAGGTAGCGGAAGAGAGTGAGGTAGGGAGAGAGACAGACAGACAGACACAAAGACACAAAGACGGGAACGAGAGGGAGGACAGGGGAAGATGCGCGCCGGACGGTGGGATCAACAATGACTAATATTTAGAAATGAGAGTTCAACAATGTCAACGCATACTCTGCGGGCCCTTGCATGGCGCCAGAAGTCGCTGCCCTCCCGAGAGGCGAACATGTCAACTGCCGTCTTGCGGCTTTGGTGTGTTTGTGTGTCGTGGGGGGAGCCCACACAATTGCACCCACACCCACACACCCACACATACACACGGGTCGTGCCTTCATGCCTTCCAGTATGCTCCCGTAATACGACTGATTACACCCCTAAGGGCTTCATAAAAATCATAAGGCTGTCCTGCGGAGTGTTCGGAACTGTCTCACACATCCTCAAGATGTCTTCCAAGATCCTACAATGTTCTTCGGCATCCTTAGAAGAAACTCCGATGTACCGAGGATGCCCGAAGAGATGAGTCCCCAAGACTTCTGGCAGGACTTCTTACGGATTCCCCAAGAAAATTGATCCGCATGGTTTCATTGAGGACACCAAGGTTCTCTTCACGCAGGCCTAAAGAACTCCTCCGAACTCTTTGGGATCCGATCAATTTCCTTCTGGATCATGGGGGATATCCTGTGGAATCCCAGAAGAGCCATGAGGATGCTCTGCCAGGAATCAGATGGGTTCCTTCAGAATCCAGAAGGCTTCCGAATCCCAACAGTCTTTTTCCAAAATCCCAGCGATAGATTGAAACAGTCCGATGGGATGCCCTACGGACTCGTCAGGATTCACTCTGGGATCCTCCGGAGTTCCCAATAGAATCGGCGAGATTGCTTCCAAGAAACGGATTCCCTCATGAGTAATTCGGGTTCCCGCATGAATGACAAAAGCTCTTCTAGGATCCGACAGGCTGCCACAACTTTACTCCAAATGTCCTGGGGCTCCCAAGAATCTCTTAGGCCACCCCAGGGAATATGACGCGATGCGTACGGAGTCCGAAGGAATTACCAACGAGTCCAAGATGGGGTGATTCAAAAATCCTCTGGACCCCTTGAATACAAATCATATCTTTGGGCGTCCAAAGCGTTGCCAGAGGAACCTTCAGAAGTTCCCCAAGAATCCTCAAAACGTCCTGCGCGGAATCCCATGAATGCCCTCGGAATTTCTATAAGAGGACTTCCGGGAAAACGCAACACAACTCACTGCATCAGTAAGATGAACTTGAAAGACCTGGTGGTCGCCATCGGGTGAATATTAAGATGATATTGGAAAAATCGGTACCAGCCGTCTGTGCGAGGTCTTGGGGCATCGTGGACCGGCCCCCGAACGAATATGTAGGAATTGCACCACCACTTCCTCCGAAAGGAGACGGGGAGGCGTCGGCCCCGCCTATATCACCAAAACACCCAACGGTCTTGGGATGCGAAGGCCTCGCTGGGGGGCTGTGGGGGGTTGTTGGTATGGCTGGGGCGGGGGGCCAACAACAGTCATTCAAATATTGTTAACTCTCCCTTGCCCGCGTGTCATTCAACCGCGTGTCATTCACCATGTAAATCCAAACAATGTATTCCCACCCTCTTCTTTTATGAGCGCGCCCCTCTTGGTAACTTTAATTTGTCATGTCAAGTCGTGGGCGAATGCCGACGAGGGTATGGTAAACGGGTCAGGCGGGCGGACCCAAAGAGGAGGGACGGGCGGGTGGAACTTTGGAACGGGCGAGCGGGCTTTTAAAACAAGGAAACAAGCGTACCTTATCGAGCGGGTCGGGCGGGCGTGCTTATAATGTGGGCAGGCTGGGGTCGGGCAGGCAGAGATTAACAGAGAGGTCGGGCAGGTAACCACTGACGAGCGCGGCGGGCGGGATGGCCAGAACAGCGTATCAGGCGGGCGGACCCACTCGGGCGGATCGGGCGGGCGGGACATTCAGTCAGGTACCGCGGTTCGTAGGAAACCTTGGGCGAGAGTACGATTTCGAAGCGGCGAAAGCACAAATCCTGTATCAATTGATCAGGAAGTCAAGCGAAAACGATACCTTTGAGTAAAAAGCAAGGGCGCCGTGGGCGAGAGTAAAGTGCAAGGGCGCCGCGGGCATCAAAAAACACACCGAAAAACAAATCCTGGAATGTACCCATCCCTGGCGCGGAAAAATACCTCAGACGTACCCATCCGCTTCTGCACGCGAGGCTAGAACGAATGTGAACGCTTCACACACAGCACGTCGCGAGATATGCGACACTCGGAAAACAAATCTTACACCAGAGAAAAATCCCAATCAGTAGATGGTCTTAAAATTAGTGATCGGAGGTGAGGGGGTGAGATCGAAAGGGAACAGAGAGCCCCCCTACCAGGAAATCGGTTTCGGTTTCGTGTTCGTGCGTGCCGTGCGTGCGGGCGAGGCGAAGCTGCGTGGGCGGGCGAGAAGAAAGTCTCCTCTGGCTGAGGCGCGGCCGGACCCAAGGTTTCCTTTCCGGGGGCCGGTGCCGCGCGGTGTCTTGCCGGTGTCCCGCCTCCGACTGAGGCGCGGCCGGACCAAATGTTTCCTTTCCGGGGGGGCCAGTGCCGCGCGGTGTCCCGCCGGTGTCCCGTCGGTGTCCCCATGATGATGATGATGATGATGATGATGATGATGATGATGATGCTGATGCTGATGTCGATGATGTTGATGATGATGATGATGATGATGATGGTGATGGTGGTGATGATGATGGTATCCCGATGATGATGATTATGACGATGCTGATAAAGATGATGGTGGTGATGGTGGTGATGATGGTGTCCCGATGATGATGATGTTGATGATGATGTTGCTGATGATGATGGTGTCCCAATGATGATGATGATGATGATGATGATGTTGATGATCATGATGTTGATTATGATGAGATGATGATGAGATGATGATGAGATGATGATGATGATGATGATGGTGTCCCGATGATGATGATGATGATGATGATTATGATGATGATGATGATGAGGTTGATGATGATGCTGTTAATGATGGTGATGATGATGATGGTGCCCCGATGATGATGATGATGTTGGTGATGATGATGACGATGATGGTGTCCCGATGGTGATGATGATAATGTTGATGATGAGGATTATGAGGTGATGGTGATGATGCTTATGATGATGGTGGTCCGATGATGTTGATGATGATGCTGATGTTGATGATGATAATGTTGGTGTCCCGATGATGATAATGATGATGATGATGATGGTGATGATGATGATGGTTACGATGATGATGATGGTGTCCCGATGCTGATGATGATGATGATGTTGCTGATGATGATGGTGTCCCGATGATGATGATGTTGATGATGTTGTTCATGATGATGATGGTGGTGTTCCGGTGATGATGATGACGGTGTCCCGATGATGATGATGATGATGATGATGATGATGATGTTGATGATGATGATGATGATGATGATGATGATGATGATGGTGACGATGATGGTGTCCCGATGACGATGATGATGATGGTAATGATGATGATGTTGATGATGATGGTGATGAGGTGATGAGGTGATGAGGTGATGAAGATGGTGTCTCGATGATGAAGATGACGTTGATGCTGTTGATGACGATGATGTTGATGATGATGATGATGACGTTGATTGCGAGATCGATTGTGAAATCGATGGTAAGATCGATAGTGAGACGGAATGCGAGATCGATTGTGAGATCGATAGTGAGATCGATAGTGAAATCAATTGTGAGATCGATAGTCAGATCGATTGTGAGATCGATCGAACGAAATAGATCGAGTGAGATCGATTGTGAGATCGATCGAGTGAGGTCGATCGAGCGAGACCGATAGTGAGATCGATAGTGACATCGATAGTGAGACCGATCGAGTGAGACGTTGGTTCCTCCCCCCCCCGAACCTCCTTATCACCCGAAGGGTGGTCGTATAGGTATGGATATTGAGATCGACTGTGATATCGATAGTGAATCGATAATGGGATCGATCGTGTAGACGATAGTGTCGATCGTGAGACCGATTGTGAAGTCGGTACAATGAGATCGATAGTGGGATCGATCGTGAGGTCGCTCGTGTGATCTATAGTGGCAGTAACTGTGAGATCGATAATGGCATCGATTGTGACATCGATTGTGAGATCGATACGAAAGTGGGTAACGAGATCGATCATGAGACCGATCGGTAAAAAGATCGACTAGGAATCCGGGAAAATGAAACCCGGGAGCCCGCCGCCCACCGAAATCGGCCCCGAACCAGCAAACGGGAACCCGGGAACCAGAACCAGGTACCCGGGAACCCGGCGGCCTACCGACATCGGCCCAGAACTTTCGCCAAATCTTTCAATCACACCAGAGAGAAACCCCAATCAATGGATGGTTTGAAAATTTGTGATATGGATATTTAGAATTTAGATCGCTTGTGAGATCGATAGTGTAATCAATTATGAAAACGATTGTAAGGTCGATCGTGAAACCGATAGTGATGTCGATTCAATAGGATCAATAATGAGATCGACCGTGAGATCGCTCGTGAGATCGATAGTGAGATCAATTGTGAGATCGATAATGAGATCGATTGTTGGGCGCCCGAGTTATCCGGGATAACTCGGGTCCGGGGTAACTCGGGCTTGGATTCCCGAAAAAGGAACCCGAGTTATCCCTGACCCGAGTTACCCCTGATGATTCGGGGCTCTTGGACGCCCGATTTATCCGGGGTAACTCGGGTCCGGGATAACTCGGGTTCGGAATCCCGAAAAAGGAACCCGAGTTATCCCTGACCCGAGTTACCCCTGATGATTCGGGGCTCTGAGATTGTGCGATCGATAGTGAGATCGATAGATGAGTGGGTTATGAGATCGATGGTTAGACCGATCGATAAGAAAATCGACCAAGACCCTGGGAACCTGGAAACCCCGCCGCCCACCGAAATCTGGCCAGAACCTCGAAACCCGGGAACCCGAAACCGGGAATCCGGGAACCCGGCATCCTGCCGAAATCGGCCTGGATCTTTCGCCAAATCCTTCAATCTCCTCTAGGATCTCTTCAGTGCAAGCACTGATGGGGGAATTATACGCCCCTCTCTCCTTCTCTCTCTCTCACTCTCGCCCGTTCTCTATCTCTCTCATTATTACTCCCTGTATCTTCCTTTGCATATACTTCTTATATATACATGATACCAGAGAAAAACCCAATCATAATCTTTTTAGGGCTGTAGGGATATACGGCTACAGGGCTATATGGGCTCTTGGGCGCTATATGGGCTATATGGCTATATGGCTGGGTGGATTACAGGGCTATAAGGCTATAGGACGATAGGGATATAGGGCTATAAGGCTATAGGGCTACAGCGCACCGGGAACCCGGGCACCCGGCACCTGGCACCCGGGCACCCACCCGGGCACCGGGCACCCGTCACCCGGGCACCCGGGCACCCGGGCATCCAGGCACCCGGGCCGCGCCACCAAATCGGCGGCGAACCCGGGCACCCGGGCACCCGGGCACCCGGGCCCGGCCACCGAATCGGCGGCGAACCCGGGCACCCGGGCACCCAGGCACCCGGGCACCCGGGCCCAGCCACCGAATCGGCGGCACACCTCACCTACCCTTGAATCCACTAGGACCCCCACAGAGGCAAGCTCTGATTGGGGAACATAAACGTACCTGCAAGCACTCATCTATGTCTCTCCCTCTCTCTTCCTCTACTCCGCACCATAGTTGTTTGGTTGCGAGAGCAGAAGGAAGTACCAGTACAATGTGCCTCTGTTTGAGACGCACGTCTCACGACTGGGATCCCCTGAGGCAGAATCCCACAAACAAAATGACGAAACAAAAACAAGAACACACAAAAATCAAGTGCGCAACGAAAATAGATGCCCAGTTGGGCGTCTTGGGGGGGCACTTGCTGTTGCGCGATTTGTCAGCGCAGAATCTGGTATGTTTTCACAAAAAATATGAACTGACATTTAGGTTTAATTGTTTGTTGTGCATGATCTTGATGTTTGTTGTGCGACTTGTACATTTGTTATATTCTACATAAGTTGGTAAACGAGCACCGTTTTGTTATCAGGAGACCACAGCTATGACAAGTCCGTCCCGAACAGATCGTACAACATCTTGTAATACATCGTTTCCTGAACGGTATGGTCAGAAAGCATCCACCATGGAGCTGATGCTACAAGATTTCTGAGCGTGCGCGTCGCCCTTGCGTGGCCGAAGCACATCTGGTATCAAAGTGTGTTGGGTCGTGCCGATTGTTTCTCCCCTCCGGAAGACGCCCTTGCCAGGCTTCCCGCCGCCCACGCGCCCGCCGCGGACAGGTAGCGCGACTCCTTCGGCAGCCGCGAGCCGCGGAAGCCCGAGGGGCCGTCCTCGAAGCGGAGGAGCACCCAAGAGGAGAGGACGGCCCACACGCAGAAATCTCGGAGGCCCGCGCGGAATTCTCGGATCGGCGCTGGACCCCCGCGCGCGCGGAGCGCCGCCAGGGGAGTCCAGCGCAGATAATCATGGGCTCCTCCACGCGGAGATGGAAGCGAAAGGGAGACCACGGCAAGCGACCGGCGCCTGTCTGGCCCGAACCGCGAAGCTGGCACACCCAAGAGGTCCTCGCGGGCCTTCGAGAAGCTACGTGCTCGCGCCGTGCTGCTCCTCTCCGAGAAGAGCGGCAGCCCCGGGTCGTCCACGCGGGTCGGCTGCGCGCGGGGCCCGCCGAACACCAGGTGCCACGCCGGCGCCAGGGCCTCGCCGGCCTCGGCCGCTCCGCCGCAGGCGGCCGGCGGGGAGCCCGTGGCCTGGCCGAGGGCGGCGCGGAGGGTGGAGGCTCGGAGGAGGGCCAGTCAAGACGGCAGCGGCCCCCTCTCCGGCCTTCTCTTCGTCCTCTCTCGGGCCTCCTGGAGGCTGCTCGTCGCCACGCCTGGACGAGAGCGGGATCCGGCGGGGCCCCGGGAGGAGTCAGGGGCCCCGATCCTGAGCGGCTGCGGGCCCCGACGGCAGGGCCGCCGCTGCCTCCACCGACCCCCCCTCCGAGAGGACGCGGACGCGGCGCGCGCGTCGCTGACGAGAAAGCGGGCGCCGTTGTACCCGGAGGGGAGGCCCGGCCCGAACAGCGCCCGCCACACCTCGCGCTCGCAGGCCGTGGGCGCCCGCGGGGGCCTCCGCTGCGCGCCCAGGTGGACAAAGGGCGCGTCGAGCGTGCGCCGCGCCAGGCTCGTGAGCACCAGCCGCAGCAGCTGGCGCTCCGACTCCTCCCGAAGGACCGCAACAAGCAACAAGCATGAGCAGGAACGTCAGGAAATCCGCGCGGATTGCCTGGATCGGCGCTGGGGCCCGCGCCAGGGGCGGCGCCGGAGGCGCCGCCAGGGGGCCCCGGCGCCCAAGGTCGGCGCTAGACCGCACGGTCGGCACTGTCTGCGCAAACGAAAACTCCCCAGGGTCGGCGCTGGACCCCCTCCCCTGGCTCACAAGGCGAGCCAGGAGCAGCGCAGCAGCCCCCACCCCTGGCTCGCGAAGCGCGCAGGGGGTGACGCAGGAGGCGCCACCAGGGGGGCCCAGCGCCGATCCAAGAAACCAGCGCGGGACCCCCAAAGTTCGCTCATGTAGTCTGTATCCGCGGCCCGGCGGGCTGGGCTCGTGGGCCGCGACCCCGCAGATACGGGGGGCCTTTTTTGCGGATGCCCCGCTGCGACCTCGTTACGGCGGGATCGCGCCGCGGAATCCAAACCGCGAGGACGCGGATACGGACATGTTCGCCGCTCGTGATCTTCTGCGGCGATCCCATGTTGGAGGTGAGAGGGGGCAGGCCTGCTCAGAAAGGCTGGGAAGGCCTCGGGCCGTCTCAGAAGTCTTCGAAGCCTCACCCGCAGGCACAGTAAACTTGTCAGAAGGCGCGAGGGCTTCTGAGGAGCTCCGCCGCCTTCTGAGAAGGCCTGCCCTCTCGCACTTCTCCCCCGGGCGCGCCGCCGAGCTCTTTCTTCTTCGATCCTCAGGGGCCGCCGGGAGGAAGAGGTGGAAGCCGCGCCCGGAGCCCGAGGGCCCAGGCTCCTCGGGCTGTCGCGCGAGGTGGCCAAGGACCTCCGCGGCGGCGCACTCGCCCCGCGGCCCCTGCGGCGACGGCGGGGCGCCGTGCCGCAGCGCCCGGACACCCCCGAAGGCGGCCGCGAGCGCACTGGCCTCGGCCGCATCCACCCGCCGCCCACAAGAATCGGCCACGAGCATCGGAGGCCCAGAGGTCAGCACCAACCCCAGTGTCGGCGGTTGCCTGCACCGAGGGAAGATGATCCTGATCTCGGTGGCGGTGGTCAGTTCAAGTTTCTCAGGTGGCCGAGAGAGTACCACCAGCACCAGAATCCAGAATCATCTTCCACCGGTGGAGGCAAGCCCAGACGTGGGACGTCATGTTTTTGTTTCATTGCGGGGCCCCTGAAGTCCCGACCCTTTTGCCCTGGGACCGGTGCTTCATAACGAGTCGGTTCTTGACGGCCCTGGGGCCCCGTAAGGGCCCCAGAGACCCAACACTACGAAAAACCTCCTGTCCTGATTCTTCCGCGACGCAAGCATGTCGGGTAGCTTCTGTGTTGGCGTTGGTGCAAACTTCCAGGCCCCCGAGAGCAGCTCGGCGTGCAGCTCGGGGGGGGCCAGGTCCACGAGCCACGCGAGGGGCTCGCGGCAGCGGCAGACCACGAGGCTCGCGCTCACGGGCTCTGAGGCCAGCGCCCGCAGCGCAAGGGTGGCGGCCTCGAAGCGCGACAGGGCCAGCTCCTGGGGAGGCAAGAAGATACCTACCCAGACATGCTCACGTCGTGGAAATATCAGGACGGGTAGTTTGTCGTTATTTTCGGCTTCGGGGGGCCCTCACGGAGCTCCAGGACCGTCAACAAAACGGCTCGGGATGAAAAAAACTGTTCTGGGGAAAGGGTCGGGACTTCTATGGACCCCATACTGAACATGAAAAAATAAGGACGTCGCATGACCGGATATAGTGGCGGTCCCAGAATGATGTGGTGGCACACCGTGGGGATAATGAATACCCCGAAGGAAGAGGGGGACGGGGTAACGGGAACGCTCAAGCAGGTGGGCACGTCGGGGCGGGGCTGCGCTGCGATCGCCATGGTATGCGCGCGAGCACCAGCAGATAGGAAGGGGGCCCAAGCTCCTTCCTACGTACGACCGTTAACGGGGGGGGAGGCGGTTGGCCAGGGTAACGACCCTTCTGCGGCATACAATTTCCATGGTGATACCGAAATCCCAGAAGACCTCGCCGCACAGTCCGTAACCACACGGTTTTGAGGCCATGGAGGCCCCAGTCGCCCGAGACGTCCTCGGAAAACAGCCCGAAGCCCAAGGCCGTGCAATCACCCCGACGCCCCGCTGATTCACCACACGGTATGGTCGCCGCACCGTTTAGGGGCCCCCGAGCACCGCTACTGCCAGACATCTCCCGAACCAGAATTTCGGGGCGAACCCAGCGGTGGCGACGAGAGCCTCCCAGGAGGCTCAAGAAGGCGACAACGAGGATGAGCGCTGGAACCCCCTCCCTGGCGCGCGGAGCGGCGCCGGAGACGCCGCCGGGGAGGCCCAGCGCCGATCCAAGAAACCCGCGCGGATCGTCGAATGTGTATGTGTATGCAGTTGTTTGTTCTGCGATCCTCTGAGCTCCTATTGCCAGGCCCTGGACAACTTCCCTGGGGCCAGCTTTCCATCCCGAGTCGTTCTATGCAAGGTCCCAGGGCCCGCTGAGAGCCCCCGGCAGCCGAAATCCCACCAGCCCTCTGGGCGTAGGTTGTCTAGGGAGCTTTCTCTTTCAACCCCCTTTCTTCCCCTTCGGGGAGGGGTTCATTACTGGTCCATGTTAATATACACCCCCTCCCCCCGGCGACCGGGGCCAACCCGACACCATGCCGACACCATGCCGACACCATGCCGACCCGCCCCCCACCATCCGTCAAACAAACAATACAAACCGCACTTTGCCTCCACATTTGCAGCATGCGCGGCCAACCCGATGCGCCCCCCCCCCACCATCCATGTCAAAAAACAAAGTCTTTGGGGCCAAGTCTTGAGTCATGTTCGTGAGGCCCGCGAGCACTTTGTATTGCTTTTGACTAGGACGGCGGAGGTGTCAGCATATTCCCTGCTGCGCGCAGGGCTACCATCCCTGACACAAAAAACAATACAACATGCACCTCGCGGCAAAATCTGGATCATGCGCGGCCATCCCGTGATCACTGTCAAGTGGTTCTTGACAGGGACGGCGGGGGTGGTGGCGCGTGGCCTGCTGTGCGCAGGCCCACCCGACACACTGGTGGGCATCGGTTTTCGACAAGGATGGCGGGGGCCGACATGTTTCCCGATGTGTGCTGTCACGTACGCAGGCGCACCTAACGCACTGTGCACGTACCCCGAACGCGGCGCACCTGGCGTGGCTGGAGTGTGCGGCACGCCTGGCGCACTCGGAGCACGTGGAGCATCTGGCGCATCAGGCGTGCCTGGCACGCTCGGGCCCCAGGGGTGCCTGGCGCGCGTGGCGCCTCTGGCACGCGTGGCGCACCTCGCCCAACCGTCGCGCACCTGGGGTCGGCTTCGGTTCCCAGCCAGCAGCTGTCCATCCAAAGACGACCGCTGAACATGCTCAGGCTCGGGTGTTACTTGTGTGTGGAGAGGGCGGGTGGGAGTGAGCTAGACGGCTTGCGGGCGGGCGTATAGCTTGATCCCTCCCCTACCCCCCCTGGACCTGGACGGGCGGTGCGGCGACCCGTTGGAGCGTCCAAAACGGTCTCGGCGAGGAAGCCTAAACCAATGGTTGTGCTAAAGTGTTGGCCCCATGTTGGCCTCTTTGGGGGGGCGCTAATTGGAGCTCTCCTCATGTTTGATCGATGGCCTCCACGAGCCCCCCAGGACCACCAAGACACCCCCAAGACGTCCCAAGAGGCCACCAAGAAGCGCCCAAGCGATATCCCAAGAGGCCCCCAGAGGCATCCAAGAGACCTCTGGCCCTTTTGCTCGCCCTCCTCCTCCTGCTCCTCCTTCCTCCTCGCCTTTTCTTCCTCCTCCTTTTGTTATTGTTATTATGATTTGTAGTGTTTTTCGTATTCGTATCCTTCGTCTTATCATCCGTATTATTGTTCTTATCGGTATTCTTAGTAGCATTATTATTATTATTATTATTGTAATTATTATTATTATTATTATTATTATTATTATTATTAATAATATTATTATTAGTATTATTATTATTATTATTAGTATTATTATTCGTATTATTATTCGTGTTCGTCTTATGCTTATCCCATTAATCGTGTTACTTTTCTTTGTTTTATTAATGAGTGTCTCATTCGTAAGACTCTTACTATTAATCGTCGTTATAGTCATTTCATGTGATTATTCGTATGATTAAGGATAGGACTACTCGTACAATTAGTCGTATGTTTACCTTATTATGCCTCTTACTGTTCCTCTTCTGCTTCCGCCCCTCCTCCTCCTCATCCTCCTCTTCCTCACCCTCCTCCTCCTCCTCCTCCTCCTCCTCCTCATCATCATCATCATCATCATCATCATCATCATCATCATCATCATCATCATCATCATCATCATCATCATCATCATCATCATCATCATCATCATCATCATCATCATCATCATCATCATCATCATCATCATCATCATCATCATCATCATCATCATCATCATCATCATCATCATCAGCATCATCATCAGCAGCAGCATGCTCATCATCATCTGAATCATCCTCCTAAATTTCAATTTCTTCCCACTCCACCATCCATCCATCCATCCAGCCTCTTTCTTCTCCTCTTCCCTCCTTCGCACAGTTCGGCCGTCCACCTCTTTGCTTCCGCAGTTGCCTGATCACCTCAACTCGCCTGGACATAGTTTCTGGATGGGCTGGTGGGGATACTTTTTTGTCGCAACCGCAGGCGAAGGCGCCAGCGGCGTCTCGAGCTGGCTCGGGCTACGAGCCTGACGCGCGCGCGCAGACATCAGCAGAACCTACCGCCGGGGGAAGCTGCTGCGCCGAGGGCAGTGGCTGCAACCGCCGAGGGAAGCAAGGCAGCGCCGTGGGCGGGGACTGCAAGCTGCTGGGGCTGCCAGGAAGCTGAAAGCGTGCGGGCAATTACCCCAGGGGCGAGACCACCAGGATGAGTGAATGGGACCGTGTCGCCACCAGGCGCCTGAGGGCGGCGCGCCACAAACGTGGCGAAGCGCGGGGCTGCGTAAACAGCCCAGCGTGCTGGCAGCAGACCGACAGGGGGAGCACGCAAGGTCGATCAAGAAGGCTGAACCACTCCTGAGTGAACCAGCGGTCCGAAATCCCATAAGGCCAGCGGCAACGACATACACGGCCAGCAGTGGCGGTGACTGGGGACCAGATGCCAGGGGAATGCAAGCACTCGCGCCGGAACTGGTCAGGACGCACGTCCCCTGAGCGCCGGGGTGCCTCACCCGACTCCACGGAACCAGATGGGTGCCAAAGCGAGAGGGTCAGAGCGCGGTCGCAAACACCGAGGGCGGCGGTAACCGGAGCCCAGTAGCCCGAGACAAGACGCGTGAGTCGGAGACGTCAAAAGGGGCCAATGCCAAGGATACCGAGCCAGGCCAAGGCCAGGTCAGGGCAATGGCCACGGCGAAACCAACTACAGCCAACGGCCGGGGCCGAGAGGCACGCCGCGCCCCGCCCCATCAGGGGCCAGCGTGCCCGTATTGACGGCACCTGGGGGCCAGGTCCCAAAGGGCGGGGAGGCCGAGCCAGGTGCCGTGCTGGGGCCGACACCGGACGACACTGGACCAGCAGCGGGGGGGGCTGTAACGCGCTGCGGCCAGGTGCGGCGAAGGCCAAGGTGAGCACTGCTACAGCAGACGGGCAGGCCGTGCATCGGCACTCTGCGCCTCGCCCCTGCCAGGGCATCGTGCCAAGTATTGACGGCGCCAGGGGCCTGACCCACAAGGGCGGGGGGCTGGCCAGACGCTGTAGGGTGACCGAACCCAGTCGTGAGGGGCCAGAGAGATAAGGGCACACCGGGGACGACTGCGGCGAACGACTGCGGCTAACGGCTGGTGGGGATACGCTGTTTTCTTCAGCGGCCGCGGGCGAGCGCGCCAGCGGCGAGTCCAGTCAAAGCGGGGTGCGCAGCTGCTGGTGGGGGTATTTTTTTTTATCTGCGGCCCCAAGGAGGAGTCCAGAGGGCGGGTCAATCGGACTGACTGGGGCACAGAGCCAGATAATTTGCGAACCCAGCCGTCACTGTCGACAGCCGACCGCTCATGCAAGCATGCCGAGCAAATTCGAGGAGACGCGCTGGTGGGGGTACTTGTTTTTTACAGCCGCAGGCGGAAGCGCCGGCGGCGAGGGGTCACGGTCGGGCTGCGGCCGCGACGAATTCCCGGGCGCGCGCGGGGGCCGCGGATCAGGCGGCGGGGCAAGCAGCAACCCAGGGCGTCTGAGAGGCCAGGCGGTCGTGCAAGCTGCAACCCAGGGAGTCTGAAGGGTCAGTCACCCAGGAAGCAAAGCGGACGCGGCCAACATGGCGCGCCGTACATTCCCAGTCATGGGTCGTGACAACCGACAACCGCATGGTGGTGGGAACCAAACTCCGTGCGAGAAAGTCAGCCCAGGGAGTCTGTCGGGTATGAGCAGACCGAAGCGTAGCTGACGTCGTCCAGCAAGGAGGTGAATTCTGACAGCGCCAGCGAACCGTCGCAGCTTCAGAATGCGCATCCGCGGCTGACAGAGTGAGCCTGA